CAATCTTCTGTTCTTCAAGTTCTGTGGTTTGGAAGATTGGCAGGCCAGCATCTTGGCCGCTGAGGGAACTGTGGCTGGGGTCTTCGGCAACAGCATTGGTGGCATGATCGCAGACTGCCTGGCCAGACGTTTCGGATATCACGGAAGGCCTCTCAGTGCTCAAATCACCGTGGCCATTGGACTCCCTATGGTCTTTCTGCAGTTCTATGGCATCCCGCCAGGTGAGGGCACTTTTGGTGCCTACTTTGCTCTCATTGCAGCATTTGGCTTGTTAGGCTCATGGGCACAGTCTGGCACCAACTTCCCCATTCTCTCAGACATTGTGCCTGCCAGCGACCGAAGCAAGGTCATGGCATGGGAATGTGCCATGGAAAATTCCTTGGCAAATGCCATTGGTCCATCTCTGGTTTCCACCTTGGCCTTTGCTTTCGGCTACAAATTTGGGGCTGAAGAGATGTCCGGAAAGTCTCTCTCTTCCGCCAGGGCACTTGGACAGGCAATGGCTGCAACTATTTGCATTCCTTGGATGATTACCCTAGCGGCCTACACCCTTCTACATTGGAGCTATCCTCGTGACATGCGACGGCTGCGTGCCAAGCAGGCAGCCAAGGACGAGGAGGAGCGCGTCTGAGCGGAGGCGCCGTAGGACGTGAAGGCCATAAGTGTAGGCCTTCATGCGCCAGGATGTGGGTATGTCTCAAACCAGGGATCTCCAAAAGCTTCAAACCGGCAAACTATTGCAAACTATTTGTTGTTCCCATTCTTTTCGTTGCTACGCTTGGCGGCTCCCCAGTTTTTTGAGACGCACCCACTTCCTATTCGAGTGTTCGGACAGGTTTTCCTTTAAGGGTGTTGCCACGAATTGACGTGCAGCCAATCCGGAAGCGCGAATGCATGGTGCGAAAGTCAGTCTGACCAGCCGCTGAATTCGACGGGTTTTCAGCTTTGGGTATCTTGACAGATTATGACTTGCAATAGGGTAGCTGTACCGACTTTGTGCTGCCACTACTTTCGCAAGCTGAAGCTCCCAAAGCTGTGAATCCTGGCACCACAAGTGGATGTCACGGGCGGAAATGGCCAGATTTCAGCCTCATCCTGCGCTTCCCGCACAAATGCGAGAAAGCAAGGATGGTAGATTCTGCTAGATATACAGCGGAGATTTGTAAAGAGCTCTGAACGCCTCAAGATGACGCTGTTCAGTATTCAAACATGAGGGGGGTGACCACCGATGGGGCACGATGCAGTTCGCTGCTTTCGCTGCTCAATCCGTGCTCGTCCTCGCCATGATTTGCTCTCTTTTGATTTTGGCTTTCGCCACGCAGATGAAAGGTTTTGGATGCAATCTGTGTTTCGACATCCACACATTCTCCTGAATGTGTGAAACCGCTTGCAAGGGAGCTTTGGTGATGTCGCTGCACACTGACCTTCCAATTTTGCATGTGAGGATGAGATCTCGGTGTTTCTCCTTCCGCGTTTCTTAGGTGGCATGATGTCAGTGATTTTCATCGGTGTCTTCTTCGGCAATTTGGCGGGTGGCCTCAGCGGGTCCACCCGTTTCGACACACGTCTCGTTGGCGTTTGGACCAGTCGATGCAATTGGTGAGAAGAAAAGGTCGTTCTTGAAGAGTCACCTTCCAGCAGTAACAAGGTGCCACGCTAGTAGTAGCAGGTGCCTTACTAGTAGTAACAGGTGCCTTGCTATTAGCTTCAGTGGCCAACAGGTCGAGAAGGTCGACTCGGATTCTACAGGTCGATTCGGTGCGATGGACTCTCGAGCGAACCCCTCGGACCGCTCCGGACGAACGACGGACCTCGCCGGAAGTGTCGTTCAGATTGGTGGACCCGCTGCGGACACCTATGGCCGACGAGTGTCGGTGCTGATGGCATATGCCAAACACTCAGAATCTCAGACAGATGTTGTTTTGTTTTTTCAGCGACTTGAATTGGATGCGGGTGATGGCGTTGAATTGGAGGAACCAGCAGAAACATCGTCTGTCAACATGAGTCCTTTTGCTGTCATGCTCGGCACCTGATTTAGAGTGAATGTGGTGCGGCGTCGTGGGTTCAACGCATTGAAACGACTGGGAGATTTGTTAGGTTGGAGGCCATCGCTATTAGGTTGTTGCATGGTAAGAGATTCATAGTTAGATTCATTAGGTCTTTTCAACACGTGCGTTCCTTTTCGCCCATGGCGCCTGCCGGTGTTTCTTCGCCCAAAACCGCTGAGTTTGGCTTGGTGATTTGTGGCTTCAGCTCGGCGGCGAGCACCGGGACACTCGGCATGAGCGGGACCGGCAGGGCGACCGATTCTTGGGCACGTTGGCCCGGCTGTTGGTTCGGCTGTGGGTGGTTAGACAAGAGCAGGTAGGTAAACCATCTGTTTTGGTTGAAGCTTAGCAAGATGGCGTTGGCTTCTGCAAGGCCCACCTCCATGTTGCTGGCCCGATTCTTCTTTGGGTTTGGACCTTAGACCCTGACAGAAAGCAGAAAGCAGAGGCAACAACACGGCAACTCGGCAGTTCTTTTCTGCCTCCAAAAGTGCCAGGCTATGTTATGGCTTTGGAATGGGACCGTCCTTGACCTTGCAGGTTGGCTCTGCTGCTATGAAATCACCCCGGATTGTAGAACAGGTCTTCCGAACACCTGTGGCAAGTGCAGGGTTATTTCAAAGACGTGTATAGACGTGTTATATATACTATACAGATTGACCTGCTTCTGCTTGTGGCTCTTCTTAATTGTCTTCTGCCTTGCTCGGAACTGCACGGTGGCAAGGCACAAGGACACACTTCAACGACGACCTGCGCAAGTGAACGTTTGCACATCCCCAAGCAGCTACGCAGAACGAGTGCAGGTTCCCCGAACGCACTCGATCGATCGGAAGATTTCTCGATCCGCCAGGTGGAGATTTGTCCAAAAGCATGGCGTGGGCACATGGTGAACGTCTTCTCCTAAGGTGTAGCTGCTAGCCGATGAGTCAATCCACATGGGTAGGTAGTGAGTGATTGGTGGGATGTGTTGACTGAAAAAGAAGATAATTCTGCATTTCAGCAATGCTTTTGGTGGTGGCCCCCTAGTCATGATTGATGAGAAGCTTGCCACAACATCCAAACAACGTCCGTCAGAAGCTGAGGTCAACAATTTCTTCTTCACTTTGGGTGAGATCTATGCCGTCCAGCACCTGGGGGATGCTGTTTGGCTTTTTGTACCGATAGCATATATCCAACGATATAGATGAAGTTTCTGGGTCAACTGCGATTCTCATGTCTATTTTGAGGCCTGGCTCCTTTGGGCTTTCCTGAAGGATCTCAAGCAAAGCTCAGAGGAGGACCTTGCTGCAGTTCATAGCCGTCAGCCTCAGCATTCTTGGATTCCGAACATCTTGGCACCTTTTAGTTGAAATCCTTAAGAAACCAAAGAACCTGGTCTCATTTTGTCCACAGCTGGGGGCCGTCTCTGGAGTTCATCTTGCAAAGGCAGAGCTGTGGATCAGGGATCGCAGAAATTTCTGGTGCAATGGGAGAAGAATGGATTACTTGCTGAACCACGTGAACTTACTAAACTAGACCACAGAAATTATCTCTGTATCCTTTGGCACCATCAAGACTGGCTACTCCTCGCAGGAAAGCTGGCGCTATGTCACTGCTCTAGCTGTGAGTGGGAGCCGAAGGGGTGCACGAGTGGTGGAGGGAAACAGAGCTACGGGGGGGCACTGCAGTGTGCCCATCCAAGCCACAACATGTTATGACATGACACCCACTTTATATGGTTGTACAGAGTATTATATATTGTGATACATTTTAATACTCACTACAATATGAATCACATTTATGCAGATCAGATCATGATGATGGTGATGATATAGGGTGATGATTCACATTCACAATGATTCCGGCAGGGGGATCTGCAACCTGTGCCGAGGCCCAGCATTGTTGATCCTCCCCTTTGCAGTGACGGGCGCCCAGCCAAGCGTGCAGTCAGCCTGGGGAGGATCTTTTGGTTCATCCTTTCCAGCTATGTGAATGTGGTCGACCCACTAGATAGTACATACCCTTACATAGGTAATTTATATTTTAGTAGTGATGCCAGGAGCCCCGAGTAGCGTCCTTGCTCCTTTCATACCCACTATACTAGATACTACATAGTGCACACCCACGGGCGATAGATGGCCAGTTGGGCGAACTTCCGTGTCGTCGCATGATCAAGGCTTCTTCTCTACGAGTCGCCGCACTACCTTGCCAGCCAACCCAGGAAGCGAAAAGAAGCTTGAGTTGGTTTTGCGAAGAATAGACACAGGGATTTTGTTGTTACTCTCACACGGCTTGCATCATTTCAAGAGCCCCAATGGAAAATCCTTCTCTCTATTGGAAATCATGTAAATGATGTCTCCATCTCATCAGCATCCAGTGATCGTTTGGCAACAGAAAGGCACCTCCTCTCACCTCATGACCAGGGTGGATCTCCCCGAGGTGACCAAAGGCCGCCATGAGCAGGTGGGATTGGGCGGATTGGGCTGATTGGCTTTGATGCTTTTGAACGTTGGGGAAGCTCCGACTGGATTGGGAACGCAAGAAGACACCGCGGCAAGGGGCTATGCAGCTGGCACTAAGTCACTTGCATAATCACACTCATGACTTACGCGGGTTTGCATCGGTAGAAAAGGTACAAGAGTATATTCAAATATTTTTGGCCGAAACGGCACTTGCCAAATCGCTTGAATCCGCGACCAGCAGTTTCGTCTTCCGTCGTTCGACTCTCCTGTCTTCAAAAATCTGCTCGACACTGCCCGCCGAATCCCAGCCTTTTTATGGTTCAAAACTGTCTAGAGGATCAAAGCGATCAACAAGCTGAATTCTCAGACTGCTGTGGGGTCACCAGCCGAAGCTTCGTTTTCTCGTTTCTCCGACACAGATGCAACATGCTGTTTTTCAAGAAATCTTTTTGGTTTTCAGAGTCGGCCCGTCCGCTGTCCCACTGTCATCCGTTTTATGAGGCCGGTGAGGATGGAGCGCCGCTCATTCTTTAGGCGGTTCGAAGCCGCGACTTTGGCGCTGGAGCCGTTCGAAGTCAGAAAGCAAAGCCGTTTTGGCGCTTCCTTTTGGTTGGATCACAAGACAGGTAGCTCCCAAGTTTGTTTAAGGCAGATGACCTTGGTCTTCCGGGCCATCCGGTCTTCCAACCCTCGGCATTTCTTCAAGCAGATCCGACCTCCCCAAACCCGCTGTTTCAACCGTACCAGGCCAGCCGACTTCAACCGTACCATGAGCCCGGTGAGCGACAGCGAGCGTGAGGTGCATGACAGCGACCCTGTTTTCACCGGGGATGGTGGCTTCACCTCCAAAGACCTGTGCCTGTAGGAGTCTAGATAGTCTAGTTGGCTTTTTGATGGAGTTTTCGTCTTGAATACTTGGTTCACCCTTCATCACAAAGCAGCTCTAAAGGCCACGCATGCATACGCATGCTTTGCAAGCTGTGCTGATTCGTTAACCAGAAGATTTCTTACCTTCTTTTTAACCATGACTTTTGGAACAAGTTCAAAAAGACAGTACTGTGCGAGTAGTCACGTTGAACAGTTTTTCATCTACTAGCAGACCCAAACAACTTGGTGTTGGCCAGATATTTGTCTTGCCTTACATCAATGCCTTCCATGCCTCCTGCACGGCTTCTTGAGGCATCCCATACTCCACAAGGATTACTGTAGCTCATCCTTGTTACTGTACTTACCTCCTTGCTGGCACAAGCACGGCATCCGGCATCCACTCCTCCTCCTTAAGCGGTCGTCCCCGGTTCCGAAAGCGCCAGGTCTTTGCGGATGCTCCAAGGATGGCGGCCCGTTCCGTGGCCTTGATCGCCAAGAAGCGCCAGGCCCGGAATCCGCCGGAAAGAGAAGATAGACATCGACGGATGAAAATCAGGAAACAGTGACCCGACTCGTGGTTGCTTCCATTGAATTCGAGACAAGAAGTTGTTCTTACAACATAGTCCTTTCCAGGTTCGATGCCACCTTTTGGATTGGATGCGTAACTCTAGCTCTCCGGGATGTGCACGATCAAAGACTCGATATTCAGAGGTAAAAATCACCTTGAATCAACTGTGAATTGTGCAGTGCAAGAAGTTTGGAGAAGTTTAGCACCTCTATCATGGACTCGAACAGTTTAGCACCTGGAAAGGCAGGCACAACACTTGGAATGGCCGGTGATGTGTTTGCACGGCTTGAACCGCCGCAAGGCGCACCCAGAAGTTCAGCCCGCCAGGCACGGACGGATCGATCGGATCGTTCTGTCGCTTTTGGGCCTTGAGAGCGGTGAGAGTCACATTCTGGTGGAAGAGGGTCTCTTCAAGTGCGCCGTGATGCTGGTGCGTTTGGAGTTGGATTCGTTACCTGCTCCTGGAGCCCCTAGTAGCGTCCTTGCTCCCAGTAGTGATGCCAGGACTTTGCCCCTAGTAGCGCTGCCAGGAGCCCCTAGCGTCCTTGCTCCTAGTAGCGATGCCAGGAGCCTGTAGTAGCGTCCTTGCTCCTAGTAGCGATGCCAGGAGCCCCCAGTAGCGTCCTTGCTCCTAGTAGCGATGCCAGGAGCCCCTAGTAGCGTCCTTGCTCCCAGTAGCGATGCCAGGAGCCCCTAGTAGCGAGGAGCCCCTAGTAGCGTCCTTGCTCCTAGTAGCGATGCCAGGAGCCCGTAGTAGTGTCCTTGCTCCTAGTAGCGATGCCAGGAGCCCCTAGTAGCGTCCTTGCTCCTAGTTGCCATGCCAGGAGCCCCTAGTAGCGTCCTTGCTCCTAGTAGCGATGCCAGGAGCCCTAGTAGCGTCCTTGCTCCCAGTACTAGTAGCGATGCCAGGAGCCCCTAGTAGCGTCCTTGCTCCTACTAGCGATGCCAGGAGCCCCTGGCGGCGTCCTTGCTCCTAGTAGCGATGCCAAAAACCCCTGGTAGCGTCCTTGCTCCTAGTAGCGTCCTTGCTCCTAGTAGCGATGCCAGGAGCCCCTAGTACCGTCTTTGCTCCTAGTAGATCTAGTAGTAGCGTCCTTGCTCCTAGTAGCGATGCCAGGAGCCCCTAAAGCGTCCTTGCTCCTAGTAGCGATGCCAGGAGCTCCTAGTACCGTCTTTTCTCCTATATAGATCTAGTAGCGATGCCAGGAGCCCCTAATAGCGCCCTTGCTCCTGGTAGCGATGCCAGGAGCCCCTAGTAGCCTTCTTGCTCCTAGTAGCGATGCCAGGAGCCCGGCCCCTAGTAGTAGCGTCCTTGCTCCTAGTAGCGATGCCAGGAGCCCCTAGTAGCGTCCTTGCTCCTAGTAGCCATGCCAGGAGCCCCTAGTACCGTCTTTGCTCCTAGTAGCGATGCCAGGAGGAGCCCCTAGTAGCCTCCTTGCTCCTAGTAGCGATGCCAGAAGCCCCTAGTAGCGTCCTTGCTCCTAGTAGCGGTGCCAGGAGCCCCTAAAGCATCCTTGCTCCTAGTAGCGATGCCAGGGCCCCTAGTGGCGTCGGAACCCCTAAAGCGTCCTTGCTCCTAGTAGCGATGCCAGGCCCTAGTAGCGTCCTTGCTCCTGGTAGCGATGCCAGGAGCCCCTAAAGCGTCCTTACTCCTAGTAGCGATGCCAGGAGCTTCTGGTAGCGTCCTTGCTCCTAGATAGTAGCATCCTTGCTCCTAGATGCTAGGAGCCCCTCTTGCTCCTAGTAGCGATGCCAGGAGCCCCTAGAGCGTCCTTGCTCCTAGTAGCGATGCCAGGCCCCTAGACGTCCTTGCTCCTAGTAGCGGTGCCAGGAGCCCCTAGAGCGTCCTTGCTCCTAGTAGCGATGCCAGGAGCCCCTAGTAGCGTCCTTGCTCCTAGTAACGATGGCAGGAGCCCCTAGTAGCGTCCTTGCTCCTAGTAGCGATGCCAGGAGCCGCTAGTAGCGTCCTTGCTCTTAGTAGCGATGCCAGGAACCCCTAGTAGCATCCTTGCTCGTAGTAGCGATGCCAGGAGCCCCTAGTAGCGTCCTTGCTCCTAGTAGC